AGGAGGACCCGAGGAGACCACTTGTTGGAGGTTTAGGAGGACCCGAGTAGACCACTTGTTGGAGGTTTAGGAGGACCCGAGGAGGCCACTTGTTGGAGGTTTAGGAGGACCCTTAAGAAACCACTTGTTGGAGGTTTAGGAGGACCCAATGAGACCACTGGACCTGAGGTGACCAGTTGTGACAAGGATTGTGTTTTTGGATTCGAGGAAGATGCTGAACAGGAATGGTTTAAAAGTTTTATGTAGAAACAGCTGCTGGTGGAGGTCAGAGTCTTGCAGCGAGCCCAATCTTCTTATGCAGGTAAGAGGAGCGCCGCCTGAAGGAGCAGGGCAGGGTGACGTCAGAGTCCCAGACAGGACTGCAGCTGAGGAGCAGGTTTGAGAGAGACGTGATCCAGAGTAATATCCAGAGGCGAGAGTAAGAGGTGGAGCAGAGGGTCGTTAACAGGGTATCAGAGGTCCAATAATAAATCCAAGAGGAAGATCCATTAGGCGTAGTCGTAGGTCCAGAAAGGCAGGTTGGTACCGTAATCAGAAGAGAGATGTAGTAACAGGCAAAGAGCAGGCATGTCAATTATCCAAAAGACAGGTGTAGGGTCAAGACAAGATGATCAGAGAGAGCTGTGACGTGAATGCTGGACATCTACTTCCACAAAGGGTTTGATAATCTGGCAGAGAGTAAGGGTGGCAAGAGCCCTTAAGTAGAGCAGGGCACAGGTGCATGGCATGAGCCTGATTAGGCAGAGGTGAAGAGTTGGCATGGCTGGAAGGCAAGGCTTGAGATCAGTGCACGGCAGGCAGGAAACGGGCAGGAAGCATGGCAAGTTGTTGGAGGTTTAGGAGGACCTGTGATAAAAAAAATCATTGTGCTCTGTTTTTCTTTACATTGAACACGTCTCTGAACTGAGGTTATAAAACAAATCAAGTCTATCTGAAATATGTTTCTAAACCAAACAGTGATTTTTGTAACTATTTGAGTTTTTTTATTTCCAACCTCAGAATTACAAACAAAAGTTTGGCCTGTGGGGACAAAGAGGTGTACAGAACCTGGGCCTTGTGGACTGGACTTTCTGTTCTTTAGGACATCTCGGTGGGTCAAGCCGGGGGAGACAAACGCTGACATGTGACCTTGGTGAAAGCTGGACTCAGGGTTGTAGGCCCCCAGCAGCTCCGCCTTCCGCTCTGCGTATGTCGACCTGGCTGAACCTAAAGACATTTGTTAAAATTAGCATATGCAACCAGAGTTGAATATGAACACATGAACTTAAAATCATCTGAGGAACACTTGAAGGGTGTCAATGTAGAGCTGATGAAGTTCAGTATAAACGTATTAGGGTGGTATCTAAGCTGACTGGACAGCTACCATAGTAACATATCTTAAAGCTAAAGGTAAAATCACAGTACTGAGTCAGAACTGTTGAAAGTTTTTAACGATGTTCTTTTAGCTCCAGACTCTGGTCACTGTGTAGTTTTAATTTTGTCTTTAACATAGTGGACCATCAGTAGATCCTCCTGTCTCGTATGGAGAACTTAACTGGGTGGGCATTCGGGGTCCTGCGCTACAGTGATCTGGATCCTATTTAACAGAGAGAAGCTTTTGTGTGTGTGTTGGAACTGTTGAATCCCTGTAGTGCCTCTCACATGTTGGAGTACCTCAGGGCTCTATACTTGCCCCCCTTCCGTTTCCCCTTAATTTACTCTATCTGGGATATATTCTCCAGAAACATGATGTTACTTTTCATTTTTATGCTAATGACAGCCAAATTTATGTTCTATTAAAACAAGAAAAACAATACTCCGTGAACCAACTTCTGGAATGTATTGCAGAAGTCAAATCATGGATATGACAGAATTATTTTACATTTTAATGAGGAAATAACCGAAGTCCTGTTGTTTAAGATAGTTCCAAAGTTCATGCTGCTCTGGGTCCTTTAACAAAACATCTGACCAAGACATCAACTAACCTGGGCATGAGGTTGGACAATGATTTTAAGCTTGCTTTTCAGCAGAAATGTAAAAACGTGCAGATGAAACTATTGTCCAACATTTCCATTTCCAATTTTGTAATTATCTAAGATGACAAAAAAATGGCAACAGTTAGATGTTTGAAATGTACATGAAGTTTAAAGAGCAACAAGATCAAAACAAAAATGAAAGCTGCTGAGATGAGCTCAGTTGTCCAGAGAGACTCGATTAGAGCAAGTGAAGTAAATTTAGTGAATTGTCTGATTGCATCCCCAGCTCTGACAATAACTTGGTAACGGGATTCTCACCAATCATCTTTTAGTCAACAAAATCTCATTTCCTGTTTGAATTATAGTCAAATATCTGAAGACGTTCAAGCTGCTACAGAACATACTCTGCATCCCAGCCTGCCGGTTGGGGAAGTGGAGATCTCTGGGCTGAATGTAGGAGGCCTTGAATGTTGGCAGGACAAACGGCACCTCTCTCCCATCTGGGGGCATTTTGGAGAGGAGGTAATCTTCGGTCACCATCCTCCTCTCTTTGGACGTAAGTTCTGTGGCAGCCGTCTCCTTCGGAGGCATCTTGACTGTGATCACTAAAGAGCAGCAAAAACCAGTCAGTCAGACCCGGAAGAGACCGTTAAAGTTACGTGAAAAGCTTCTGTGCAGCCCACCACCTTACCTTCGGTCTCCTGCTCTTGCTTCCTCGTCTTCATGATGTTCTTGCAGCAGTTTTTGAAGAACTCCATGATCAGGTGGAAATTTTCAGTGCTGTAAAAGGCCACGAGTCATGTTCACACATGCAAACAGAATGTCTCGAGTCACCCCCACCCACACTCCCCCACCGAGTGTTCCCCGAGTCCAACTGACCTTAGAGGATGACTCTCAGCTACCACCAAAACAGATTTGAGCTCCACATCTGTAAAACTGGTTGAGATATAGATATTTTTGTGTTTGATAAGGTCAATTAGCTGTGGCAGCCATCTTGAATCCACTGATCGCTGTCTGAGAGTCACGTTAAATCTGCCCACTGGTTCACGAGATATTTTGCTAACAGACAAACATCATATTTAGCATAACAAAATAAACATTATTTGACCGTCTTCCAGTGTTGCCTCTATAATGGCGGGCCATGCTGGGGCCACTGAAGGTCCTGGAGGTGGGTGTGGGGGTACCAAAACCAAAACCCAGAACAGGATTTCAGGAGATTTGTTCTGTTGGTGTCACCTAAAGGTAACTTGGATAAATGCATACATAAACACAGGAGTGTGAGAATAACCAGGTCTACTTTAGTTTGTATTAGTTATTGAGAACATCTGTAACTTATTGAAGCTGGTCCTGAACTCCTCTTTATAAAAATATAAGCTCCTGAGAGCATTGTGGTGTTGGTTTACATCTGTTGACCTTCTTATTCAGGGGAACAGATTTTCACTTCGTTAATTATATTTTTATATTTTTAACTCCTAACTGCTCTAAATCAATCTTTGTTTTTATGTTTATGAGGTTTAGATAATCCTAAACAGCTCAGATAAAATTAAAAACACAACCAAGGAAAACAAACTGTGCCAGGAGGAGCACCGGTTACTTTAAAAGGGGGGGCAGCCCCCCGCCTGGCCCCCACTTGGTGGTGCCCCTGCTGTCTACCTCGTGTTCCCCGAGTCCAAGTTTTTCTTTCACCTTGATCAAGTCCAAATGGGCTGTGAGCTGAGCCCAGAACATTTCAGAACCAGAACCTTACCTTGTAGCTGTCTCTCTGTGAGAAGACGACAGACTGATCCGGTCGACTCTCTCAGGTGTGTATCTCTCTAGATTTAGCTGTCTCTCTCTCCAGGTTTAGCCATTTCTCTCTCCAGGTTTAGGTGTTTCTCTCTCCAGGTTTAGCTGGTTTTTTTCTCCAGGTTTAGCTGTTTTTTCCTCCAGGTTTAGCTGTTTTTTCCTCCAGGTTTAGCTGTTTCTCTCTCCAGGTTTAGCTGTTTTTTTCTC